CAGCATTGCCTACTTTGTAAGGAGTGGGGTTAGTTAACTGGTGAGTTGGCGGAATGAAGGGCGACTCCCTTGGGAGAGGTCTGGGTCCTGAACTTGGTTCTGCTGTTATTTAGCTTTGGCCTTTGACCCATTGGACTTGAAATCTTCTCAGGGTGCACACGCTCCCTTTGAAGTCGCTGGTCGTGGGCCCCGGGGGAGGGGGAGGAAGGAAACTGCCCTTTCATGGTGTAGTGTGAACTTTCCTCTGCCCCCCAAAACTGTCGCTGCATTTCCACACTGTACTCAGTCCCCACAGCCCCCCCTGTGTGGTGCAGGCTGAGATGGACACAGTGAAGATTCAAGTCCCTGGGTCCCAGAGAGACACAGTAGCTTCTGGTAGGTTCCACACCCTACTCCCCAAGAATGCAAACCCAAGCCTGTTTGCTACCTTTCAGAGAAGGCTGGCCAAAAAGAAAAAGCAAACATTGGTTCGGCCGATCTCAGTAGGCGTCACGTAGGAAACATCAGAGGCTTCTCATGGCAGAAGAGGAGTCTTTGCACAAGTGCGCTGGAGTTGAAGCCTCAACCATCTCTTGAGAGAGGCTCTCTGGCCCCCCTGACACTAGAGCCCCCATCCTTTTTCCCCCACCAACTTTTGAAGCCCCTTCATACATTCTCCCTTGAGCTGGGAGGAGTCATTGAAAGACAATCTGCTGACTTCCCAGAAGTCATTAACACGGGGTGGCTGAGCCTCAGACAGCCCTGGGCTCTGATTGTCCAATTTTTGTATAAAGCAAGTCCTTCCCCGTGGCATCTGCCAGGACTGACTGGCCAGTGGTCAAGCCTGGCCTCTCTGATAAACCAGAGACCCCAGAGGGGAAGGGGAGCTGAAAACCCACCCAGACAGGAGCAAGTGCCCCCCCCCCCAAAGGACAACAGGAGGGTGTGTAGGTTGCACACATTGGAGCAACGGGGATGTTGGGAAACTTGGCTGTGTCTGGGTGTGTACGGGTGGCTGTGTCTGGGTGTGTACGGGTCTCAGTGGGCTGTGTGATAGGAGAACAGCTTGACCTCATTTCTCTGAGCTGCCCTGGGTCCATTGCTTTTATTTTGTACTCGCATCGGACAGTGTGGGTCAGGAGCAAGACCCAATGCCCCAGAGAGCCTCCCCACCTGGCTCACCCTGAGCGGCTGGCCTTGGCAGCAGGGGTTCTGGCATGGTCCGGCCAGGAAGGTGAGCTGTGTGCATGCCTCCCTGGGTCTTCTGGACCTGCAGCTGCGAGGTGTCGGAAGCCCTGTCGGCCTGCCATCCTCTGACAAGTGTCTAAGGACTTTGCACTTGACTCTGTGTGGTGGGAGTCCGAGCAGAAGGCTGGGTGCATCCAAAGGTGACGTTTCTGACCGGCTCATGCTCACTCAGGGAAACAGGTGTGCCTGATTCTCAGAACGGCTGTCCACGCACAGTTCACCTGGACACAGGTCACATAAAGGAGGGCGGGTTAGGGAGTGGATAACTAAGTCAGAGGTAGCTTGAGTGTGGTATCTGGGTTTCTAAGAACTCAGCACTGGCTTGGTGTCACAAAGGTCAAGCCCAGAGTGACGCCTGAGCTAATAGATGAGTGCACTGTGGGTGTTGAGAAAGAACTGGATTCTTCCATCACTGAAGGGCCCTTAGCAGTCACCATGAAGGCACTCATGGAGAACTTTCTAAACCTTTGTGCTGTGAGTCATCAGCCCAGATCTCCTGGGTCTATATCAAGAAGAGTCTTGCTCCTTCTACTGGGAAAAGCGCTGTCCTCACAACAAAACTCCTCCCTCCCCATGGAGGATGTGAACTCCCAGTGTTTGGAAGTAGACACGGCCCAGCTATACCGCTGACCAGGTGCTGGGAGGCTGGTGCTCTGTCTAGCCGAGTCTCAGCTTCCTGGGTGTGACCAAGCCAAAAACACTGCCCCAAGTCCATACAGGCTTATAGCCGTCCGACAGGCTGGCTCAACTGTCCCACAGGGTTCCTAAGGCCATAATCGCTACAGAAAGGTATTGCTACAGTTTTCTCTGCTGAGCAGCTGGTGGCTTTGAACTGCCGACCTTCTTGTTAAACCACTGCTCACCAGGGCTCCTTGTCCGCGTGTGATGCTGGACTCGAAGCTCACTGCCATCCAGGCAATGATGACTCACAGCGACCCCCTGTAGGTTTCAGAGACTGACTGTCAACGGGAGTAGAAAGCCCAGTCTGTCTCCCTTGGGAGCCGCTCGTGGTTTCAAACTGCCGACCATGCGAATCGCTGTTCCAATGTGTAACCGCGACACCACCTTCCACATGTGACAGGAGATGGTATTCACCTGTGGTAGTGTGGGGAGGAAGTGTGGCCTTACCCGGTGTGAGATTGATACCTGTTCCGTCTGATCACCGGCCGCCATCCGTGTTCAGAGAACATGCAGCCTCTGCGAAATCTAAATGGGGGTGTGCATGAGCGGGGTCCGCAGCCAGGAGTTTAAAAGATAGTAACCAAACTTGTATCAGTTTGGTTTCTTTTCAGCTACTGGGATTTGAGGGGACCCAGTAAAGAGCCCTCTTTGCTATCTAACATCTGAATCGATGGTGGGGGAGAAAACAAAGAACTCAGATAGGAGATAGTCTGTCACCGACAAGGCCACTCCTGACTCTCCCCTCAAGTGGGTGACCCTGCACTGCACCCCCGGATTAGATGAGACCCACAGCCTCCCCACAGTGTGGTCCCACGAATGGCCACCCCACGTGCTCTCTGCCAGAGGGTGTCCCCCAAAGGAGAGCCGTGGCCTGCTCTGCCTGCCCATTTCCACTGCACTGCTCATGGTGGGGACACAGAGGCCTGGCTGCCACCCTACCACCAAGGACCTGAGAATGAGCTGAAAGGACATCCAAGTGACATTCTGGCTCCCGTTCCAATGGGGGGGGAGTGGTTATCCTAGATGGGTCTGGATTGTATCTCCACAGCCCAGTGTGTCTGAGGGTCCCTCCTCGCTCCCCTCTGCTTCACATCAGCCAGCCTCCGGGACACAGGGCCCTGGCTTCAGAGCCCAAGTGAGTGGGGATGTAGTGGTACAGGCCAGACTGGGAGAAGAGCGAGCCCGTGCAAAGGCGGCCACCGTAGTCCTCGAGCCACATGCGCAGAGGTTGGGAGCGCCTGTCTACATGTGGTTGTGTGTGTTGCCACCAGAAGTGTATAAAATATAAAAAGAAAAGAAACCAACCGATCTTAATGGTGGATATATAATACACACCCCCCGCAGGAGAACAAATAAATGTGGGTGAAGGGAGGCAGCAGAAGATGTACGTTATGAAAATGACAATAATAATATACAGTTGATCAAGGGTTCAAGAGGGGGGGGGTGGTGGTAAAGGAGCTGATCACTAAGGACTCGAGTAGAAAGAACTTGTTTTGAAAATGATGATGGGAGCAGATGTACAAGTATGCTTGAGACAATGGATGTATGGAATGTTATAAGAACCCCAATAAAACGATTTAAAAAAAAAAAAAGAAATCAGCTGACGTGCGCCAGGAGACTGGAAGCAGCCCCTATGTCGTCACACGGACGAAATGGATTCTGGGGAGCAGGGGGAGGCAGTGCCCCCCGAGAGTTGCTGCCCCACACAAAGCCTGCTGCCTCTGCAGCCTGTCACCCACCAAGTCTTGAAAACTGTGTGATGGAAATGGGGGGGGGGTGTCCCTTTCCTTGACCTTTTTTTTTTTTCCCTGAGTCTGTAGTATCTTCATAAATGGAAAGGGAGAGGGGAGAATTAAGGGGGATTTTTCTAAATGTTCCTGTTTTTTTAACCCTGCCTCACCCACAAGGATTGAAAGCGGCTAACAAACGTGTGTTCAATGCATAAACGAGCCAGGGAGACCAAGGGAGAGAAGCCAATGGTCTCTACTTGCCAGACAGAGGGCTCCTGGGTAGTCACCTGAGTGGGTGCAAGGCTGCTCGCCCAATGGGGGAGTTCAAGTCTACCCAGAAGCACCTCAGAAGAAAGGCCTGGCAATGAGGAAAACCCCGTGGAACATAGTGACAATGTGGTTACACACAGGGGCCCCAAGAGTTGGAACCCTTTTGATGGCCACTGGTTCATTGATACCAGGGGCTTTCAGCAAGTCCTGGAGAAAAGAGATCCGTAGATGGAGCCAACACCCGGACCAGCAGATAGATGCTAAGGGACATAGCAGGGAGGCTGGCCGGAAAGGGGGAGCTCCCACAACGAGTACCAGGAAGAAGAAATGTCCCAGAGTTGGTTGGAGCCACAGTTGCACAAGTCCTGTAAGGGTGACTGAACTCTCAGATGCAGGAGATGTGAACTGTATGTCCGTGAAATTGTTTTTTAAAAAGATCGGCGTTTCTCCATGAACTTTTTGAAGCCCGTTTGTCCTTGAGTTGGATGTCAGGAAAACCCTCTAGGTCAAGAAAAACCTTACCTTTTATTTTTCCCACCTGTTTCGGGGAGGAGAAAGATCCACCCCGCTAAGGAAGTGGGAGGTGGCGTGGGGGTTCTGGGAACCCGGGTTTTATAGACACTTGCCTGTGGCCCTGGCAAAGGGGTAGTGTGAGTGACTTCACTAGTGGGGCCGGAGGAAGCACTGGTGGTGGGTGACCTCCCTGCAGAATCAATCCCTGATATTGATACATGGGGCTCAACGCAGGGTGGGGTTTGAACAGAGACAATCTCTGGGCACTAGCTTTGCAGGAAAAGACGTTGTTGGCATCTTTGGGGGATGGAATACACGGTGAAGATCCAGATGTCTGGGGCCGTTCCCCAAGCCTGGTTGCTGCTCCCCACTTGGAGAAAACAAACCTGACTTCCAAGGTCTGCTGACTGCCTTTCTCTACACCTCACGTTCGAACAAGAAACTCAGGCTTTGGGGAAGTCCAGCAAGACAGCACAACAGGGAAGGAACCGTGTTTGAAGAGAGCATGTTAACGGTGTGATTGTGTGTGTGTGTGTGTGTTTCATTTTAATTAATGGTTGGTGTCCTCTCTCCAAACAGACAGCTACAGATAGTTCTTCTAACTCCTCTCAGAAGAGGGAACAACCTACTCGGACAATCTCTTCTCCTACATCCTTTGAGCACCGGAGAATTTACACCTTGGGCCACGTCCATGACTCGTTCCCCACCGACCCCTATCACCTCGAACAGGTGAGCCGCCCCTTCCTCCCTTTGAAGTCACCGCAGTGAACGGCTCCAGCCCTGGAGCAGCCTCCTTCCACCCTCCTTTATCCCTCACTCCGTTTTCAGGGGGCAGGGCCGCGCCCCATTATACCTCACTGAGCTCTTTCTAGACCGCGTCTCTGTTCATGCCCACAAAGGACTCCTTGAAGCAGATACTCAGCATTCCCAGCTGGTAGATCAGGAGGCTGAAGCTGAGAAGGGAGGGTGGGATAAGAGTCATGTCCAGGTTGGTTTTTCCATCTTTCAGCCTCTTCAAAAGCACAAAGCTCCCCATCAGACAAAAGAAAGCCTCCCACTGGGCTTGAGGCCCCACCCCCTGGCATCAGGGCTGCAGGCCCCGTCTTGCTCAGGACATGTAGCTGGAGTCTGGAATTCAGGGATGCAGTACATTTTTACTGAGCGGCTGCTCGATGGAGCAGGTCCCCAAACTGAGAGACTGGACCCAGTACCTGATTGGGAGGGATGTGCCCACTGGGCGGCTTTGAGATCAGACCAGAGCAGCTCAGGGCAGGGAGCTGTGGGTTTAGGGTTTGAGGGGCTTTGTTTTTGTTTTTTCTTGATTGTCGTCATTGTTTTTAACATGCTGCCATTGAGTTGATGCCAACTCACAGCAACCTTACAGGACAGGGTAAAACTACCCCTGTGAGTTTTCAAGAATTACTCTTAACAGGAGTTGAAAGTCTCATCTTTCTCCCTGGGAGCAACTGGAGGTTTCAAATGCTGACCTTGCAGTGAGGAGTCCAACGTGGAACCACGCCGCCACTGGGGGTGCCTCATTTTTAACATAAATTAGATTTATTTGGCTCTTTAAAAAATAAACACACACACCCCCATATTGCTTGCTTCCTGGTGCTGTGGCATTAAAATGTTCCTTGTTAAAACCACATCATGGTAGCACTGGATGGAAAGTCACCCCTTGAGTCTTTTGCTTTGTAAAGTAAACTATTAACAAGGCCTGTTGTCTACTCCCATGATTTGCTTTGAAAGCCTACTGGATTTTTGTTTCTTCCCCAGAGCCTCCGGAAAGTCCTGAGGTCAAAAGTCTGAGTGGGAAGTAGGGCAAATCGAATCAGATGTGGCCCTTGCCCTGGAGGAGTTGGCGGGCCGGCAGGAAGTAGTGGGCACCCCATCACAGCCGTTACAGGGCAGCTTCGATAACAACACCTTAGTGTGTCTGCGTGGCAACCTCCTGCCGGGCTCCATGCTGACGCTCAACCTGTGTGGTTTTTAGTTGCTGCCAAAATCCTGACTCGTGAAAACCCCACGTATGCAAAATAGAACTGTTTCCTAGGGTTTTTAAAGCTTCAATTCCCGGTTGCACTATGAGCTAAGCATTGACCTGCTTATCGAAAGGCCAGCAGTTCGAGCCCATCAGGCAACCCACAGATGAATGGTGATGCACGTAGTCTGCCTCCATATGGATTCCCAGCCTTGGGAACCCACCAGGCAGTTCTACTCCGCCCATAGGGTCGCTATGAGTCAGAAGTTACTAGACCACATGGTGGAAACTTTCAGAAGCTGATCGCCAGGCCTGTTTCTCAAGGCATCTAGGTAGATTTGAACCGTCAACCTTTTAGCTAGTGTTATTCCAGGTAGACTAGAGGAAAAAATCCAGACAATCAAATGTATATAAGAGCTATATATACAAGAGCAGTTGAATATTGAACAAACATCCCAGCCCAGTCCAGATCAAGTCCCTAAGTCTGATATTAGCCCATATGTCCAATACCAATCTCTAAAGTCTGCTTCGGGCCCGCAAACCACATGCAGTGAGCCAAATGCAGGAAGATCACAGGCCAGTGGGTGGGCAGTCTTGTGGATCCAGTTGCGTTGTAAGCATTCCAGCGCTGGCAGGGGTCTCCCTGTTGTTCCTCCAGCTCCCATGGTTCTGGCTACATCAGAGTAGCTTCATGTGGCGTCTCATCAGAAATGTCTCCAAGGGAGTGAGCAGGGAGAGGGAGTGTGTCTCCCTCCTCCAAGGAGGAAATACAGGAATTCCAGAATCCTCAGGGGAAGGCCATGCCCACACAGAGGCCTCATTGGCTGTACAAAGATTGACAGGCTAGACTCTACCCCTTCACTTGTAATCCTCTCAAATTGACAACAGATTATATACAGTATATACTCGTGTATAAGGCCAGTTTTTCAGTACATTTTTAATGCAGTTTTTGTGATAAAATTAGGTGCCTCGGCTGATATTCAGGTCGGCTTATACGTGGTAGCTACCATACTAGCTATTGAAATTGAATAGTTCAAAACCCCCAGCTGCCTAGGGGGAGAAAGGTGAGGCTTTCTGCTCCTGTGAAAATTTACAGGCTTAGAAACAGAGGCAGTTTTTCTCTGCCCAGGGTCTCAATGAGTCAGTGAGCTTTTGTTTTGTTTTTGTTGTTGTTTGGTTGTTTGATTTCCCTGGTTGAACGGTTTATGTCACCAAAGGACTCAGCTCTTGACCTAGATGTCTTGGTGTTCTCATCACAGCCCTATGCGAATTTGTAGACAGAGAACTGAGTCTCAGCAGCTTGGTACTAAGTTGTGTTTCAGGATTTGACTCCAGTTGAGTTCTCTCCAGAGCCGTTCTCCTGACCCCTCAAAGAACCTGCCTGTCCAAAGGGTGTCCAGGGTGGATGATCAAGTTTCCTGCCCTGTTGCAAGGCAGACTACCACATGTTCGTGCAATAAACTTATTCTGCATCTGCTGTCCCAGACAACATTGTCGTAAACTGTGGCACAAGTAACAGCCATGAAACCTCTCTCTCCTGGGTGGGGGGACGGGAACGGGACGCAGTGTGGATTTGAGGGCTGCGGGGTGTGCCTGTGGGTCTGGCCTGCCTGGACTCCCATTCGAGCTTAGCCACCCACTGTCTGTGAGAGACTGAGGCAGGATTCAAACTGCTCTCTCAGCACGTTCTCATCTGTGCACTCTGGCTTCCCAAACAGATTCCCAAGGAACTTGGGGGGGCTTAATGTTTCTTAGGGGGACCCCTGTTGCGTTCCTGAGCATGAGAAAGGCAGCATGTACAGCCCCAGTGGACACTGAGTGGACACGTAGGTAATGAAACCCCACTTAGCTGATGGTCGGCAGCCTAGACACATGCTGCTACCCTGTGTTCATTTAAGAAAAAGGACAAGCCAATGTTAGAAAACAGACCCTAAAACCCCCAACCAAGCCCACTGCCATCGAGTTGATTCTGGCACATAGCGACCGTATCCAGGGTTTCTTTGTTTCCAGGACTGTAAACATTTACGGGAGCAGGCAGTGTTGTCTGTTACCCACGGGGGCGGCTGGTGGGCTTGAACCACTGACCTTGTGGTTCGCAGCCCAACACCTAACCCACAGCGCCACGGGAGGAATGTTGGTCTGGACCTGTTGACTCAATTTCCTGACGCTGCCCCACAATAGAGACTCGGGATTAGGAATCAGTGACCATTTGAAAATAGCTCTGCCCTCTGGATGGCTCAGTCTTCCCAAGACACCCTGGGGTAGGCAGTTCCACCTCCTAGCGACCCTATAGGACAGAGTAGAACTACCACTTTGAGTTTCTGAGATTGGTCACTCTTTATAAGAGTAAAAAAATAAATACATTTAAAAGCGTTGTCTTTCTCCCACCGGGTTTTCAACTGCCGGCTGGTGGTTGGGGAACCCAATCAATGCAGCCCCTACTACCCCAGCAGGGCTCCTTAGTAATTTCTGGTAACTCTTAGTAATTTCCTAGAAAATGCTTTGGTTGGGGCAGGCCGAGGGAGCATCCTTGGAGAACGGGGGCTGCGCTGGGGGGGCGGACTTGGCCCCTGCCCTCAAACCCTGTCTCCCTTTTACTTGGGACAGCCGCCGCAAAGGCCCTACCGCCAGGTGAGCTTCCCGGACGACGACGAGGAGATCGTGCGCATCAACCCCCGGGAGAAGATCTGGATGACGGGATACGAGGATTACCGGCACGCCCCGGTCCGGGGCAAGTACCTGGACCCCGCCGAGGACGCGGACTCGTACGTGCGCTTCGCCAAGGGCGAGGTGCCCAAGCACGACTACAACTACCCCTACGTGGACTCCTCGGACTACGGCCTCGGTGAGGACCCCAAGCGCCACGGGGGCAGCGTGATCAAGACCCAGCCCTCGCGGGGCAAGTCCCGGCGGCGGAAGGAGGACGGGGAGCGCTCCCGCTGCGTGTACTGCAGGGACATGTTCAACCACGAGGAGAACCGGCGGGGCCACTGCCAGGATGCGCCCGACTCCGTGAGAACTTGCATCCGCAGGGTGAGCTGCATGTGGTGCGCGGACAGCATGCTCTATCACTGTATGTCGGACCCCGAGGGAGACTACACAGACCCTTGCTCGTGCGATACCAGCGACGAGAAGTTTTGCCTCCGGTGGATGGCTCTTCTTGCCTTGTCTTTCTTGGCCCCCTGTATGTGCTGTTACCTGCCCCTCCGGGCCTGCTACCACTGTGGCGTGGTGTGCCGGTGCTGCGGCGGGAAGCACAAGGCGGCCGTATGACTCAGTTTCCCTCCTGCCCCCCGCCACCGTCCACAGCCACGAGAGATTTACTCGTCTCTAGCACCGCCTCCCCTGCTCCCTTCGGCCCGAAGGAGCAGAGCGAGCAAGAAGCCGCCCAGCTCCCCGGTTCCTTAACGACACCATTCCAGCCCGGGGAGCCTGCCCGGCGGACTCTGCCGTCGACCCCGCACCCCGAGCCATGCACACTCTGCGGCGGCCGCCCCCGCACCCGCCCCCACGCACGCACAGTGTTCAACGGAAAGGAACCTTCGGTAGAGACGCTCCTGTATTCTTAACGACCTGTAATCAAGCTAAATGTCTTATCCATGTGTTCATTTCCTGTCGTTGCCCCGCCACCTCTTCCAGTCCAGAGGAGTCTGTAGTCCAAACTGCCGGGGTGGGGGTGGGGCTGGGGGTGGGGTGGTGGGTTTCCTAGTTGAGTCAAAGAGCATTGCAAGACTCCCCTCGCCCTCTCTCAGTTCAGCGTCGGTGTTGTTCCTGCGGAAAGGTGATGTCGGAATGACTGTCCCCTGCCAGAAGTATTTTCCCTTTGTGATCAGTTCTCGTGCGCAGGAGGGTTGGCTCATTTGCAAACTGGTACCACGAAACCATATCGCACAGCCGAGTTTTCCCACGGAAGCTGCAGTTTCTGCCTTTCGACCACCATCCTCTGCCCACCCCACCCCCCCAAAACCCGAAATCTTAAAAAAAAACAATCTCAAAAAACTGTTGAGACGATTCAAAACATTTAACCCATCAAATGACTGAGAATTGAGCCTTAACTTTAACTCTCGAGGATCACGAAAATTTCATCAACTGCCCCGCAGCCGCTAGGATCAGGGCCTAGAAAGGGATCTAAGGTTTCTATGAGCCTCCCTAAATAACAACAAAAGAAGCAAAAACCAACCTGTTACCGTTGAAGTCCATTCAGATCCACCGGGACCCTGTAGGACTGAGCAGAACTGGCCCGGGAGGGTTTTCTAGGCTCTACATCCTATCCGATGGGAGCAGATGGCCACGTCTTCTCTCCCTTGGGGAGGCACATGGGTTTGAACTGCCGACCTTCCCATTAGCAGCCAGGCACTTAACCACTGTGCCACCAGGGCTTTTTGCAAGCCTCCCTAGTAACCCCTCAAGTAGGAACTTTTTTAAATTATGTTGCCACCACGTCAAAAAAATGTAGCAATATTCCAAGAAGACCCAAAGGAAGTTGGAAATGTCGTTTTTTGCAAGCCAAACACTGCTCACACACGCAGCAAGGTCACCTCAGGCAAGTTCCAGAGGATAAGCAAAATTAGGGTTTTGTGCGCGCGCACATGCGCGCCATTTTATACTATTCTGAGGAGGGATTTTAAATGTCATGGATTTGAAGAGTAGCATGTTGTTGTTTTTTGTTTGTGGGATTTTGTTTCCTATCACGTCACCGAATTCCTCTTCATTTATACTTGGGGAGGGTAGGGGGGGATCAAGGCCATATGTAAAGAACCCTTCCAATGCCTAAGTGTCTTTCTGCTACAGCTTCAAACCCAGACGTGCCACATCGGGTGCACGGATGGTGGTTGGGTCAACAGACTGATTCTACCTGTCGCCTTGCCACGTAGGAGGCTTCTCAGTCCCTGGCAAAGAGTATTTTTCTAATCTATCGCAAGGAAAAGCCAAATCTTAGGGAAGCGCGACAAGCTATGAAGCGTGGTTACCTGTACCTAGCATAGTACAATCAGAACCTTGTGGAGACCCACGAGGGTCAGGCTTGCCGACAACGCCGGCTGTTCTAACCACCACCATCTCTCTGTGGTGGTCTGTGGTGATCTGTTGCCCTCCCTCTCTCCTCCAGCCCCCGCCCCCTTCTTTATTGCACACAGGACATCGGTCGTGGAGGGAGGGGACATTTCTTTCCAAGCTGCCAATCCTATTGAAAGTGCTGGCCATGCTTAACCTTCATGAGAGCGTTCTCGGCCCGTCTGAGGGCCATTCACAGCCCTTCAGCCAGCTCATCCGTGTACATAGCCAGCCAGTATGCTTCGGAGTTAGTCGGTATGCTTCGGAGTTAGTCGGTAGATGTTTTCGTTGGTTGGAGTTGCTGGTGTGGGCCTCTCCATTTAGAGACGGAGCCAAGAGCTGTGGCTCGGGATTCCTGGAACAAGAGAACCTCTTCCCTGGAAACCCTTCAGCCAGCCTCCGAAAGCAGTTGCGAGAACAACTTTCTCCCCTTGAAGTCCTTCCTCCAGGTCTTTCTCTAAGGTCTCCTCTCGACAAAGCACAACACTAATGTAACGTTTTGTTCAATCGCCGTTCAAGCGCCCCTATTTATTTCCACAAGAACACAGTACACACATTGCAGCTGCCAACCTGTCGTCTTTACATTAGTCACCATCTCCTCCCCCACCCCCTTTACTCCCTTGCCGGGTCCCAACCCCTCCTAAGAGTTAATGCTAAGCGAATCTGAACTCCACGTTTTTTATGTTTTGTTTTGTTTTTTGGTTTGTGAAGGCAGCGGTTAAGGGCCCAAGGACAGACATGGGGACATGTATGTAAATAAGTCTCTAATCGCCACACTGCAGCTGAACAGTGTGTAGTATTTTCCCAGTCAGCTTTGCCATACTGATGTCAATCATTTGAGAAGAAATTATTCAGAATTTTATTTTTGTATCTGTGGTAACAAAACATTAACCAAAAGGTTTTCTGTTCGGAAGCTCTTCTCCCTCCCACGTCCAACCCCATCCCTGACCCCTTCCCCCCTCAAGCTATTTGCTCTCATTAACAAATTATTAAGTGCCTGAAGCATAATTCGTTCTTTACCTGTATACTAAGAAAAAGAAGGAAAAAAAACACGCCCTGTTGTATTGATTTTTTTATAATAAGCCTTTTTACCTCTGTGTAAAAAAATATATATATACAAGTGTATGATGTACATTTTAGTTCTTAACTTTTTTTTAATGGTTTCTAATATGTATGACCAATGTAGCCATTGCTTTAAAATGTACCGTGTAAATATAAACACATCCTATCAGACCCCTCTGCCTGTGGGATATTTATCTGGTAGGCGGGGTGGCCGGGGAGCCCCAGCAGGCTCATGGGATAGGAAGGGGTCCCTCCTGGTTGGGTCATAGTCCCAAGGGGCCACGCCTGCTCCGTAGGCCCTGGCTCCTCAAGCAAAGGGAATATTCTGTTCAAGACCGAGGAGAGAACACCTCCTTGTCCTCGGCTTGGCCACCTTCCCGCTCCAGTCATGCCCCCACCCCACCTCATCTCACCTGTCCTCGGGGCACTGCCGCGAGGTCCTCGGGTGGGACCTGTCACTCTCCTGCAGAAAACCATTGTAAAAGCTGCAACCCACTTGGTCTCTGGACAGCCCTCTTTCAGTGAAGTCTGGCCCGCACCCCCTCCCAGTACAGTCCCAAATTCACTTGGTCAAGTACCCCCTTTTAAGGAAAAAAAAAGACGCCACACCCCAGCAATGATAATATTTGTACTGCAGCCTGTGATCCAGAATAAAGGATAGAGGCCTGTTTTGATAACACACACACCTCCCCCACCCCCACCCCCAGCTGAATTGTGGCAACCCTTTTGGGAAACTGTCCCAAGGAAGCGGAGGGTGGGGCTTTTTTGTAAGGGCCACTAGGTAAAGTTCTGGTTCCTTCACCAGAGAATCAAGTCCGCCAATTGTCACCGAAGCTATCTCGACTCAGGACCCCGTGAGGGTTGGAGTAGCACTGTGCTCCATCCAGAGGGTGTCCACTAGCCCAGTTGTGGATGGAGAGCAAACTGCCGGGCCTTTCTTCCAAAAGCCCACCCGAGCGGACTGGAGCCACCAACTTGGCAGTTGCCCGCTGAGCAGCTTCACCACTGGGACCACCCAGGGGCTCCACAGAACCGAGTAGAACCCTTAAAGATAGCGCAGAGAGGCACCTCTTTCACCTGGTCTGACTTTAGGAGGCGGGTGAGAAGCACAAGGGAGCCATTCCTGAGTGGGGGGTCAGTAGGACACGTAAAGTCCCACTGGACCTCCAGGAGGCAGCCGCCAGCCACCTCCGTGATGCCTGCCCTACGGTGGGGGGTACAGTCACTAAGGTCACCCACAGTCACGCAGCCAGGACAACCCCAGCCTTGCTTGCTCTCCTGCCTCTGCCCCGCGTCACTTCCTGCTCTCCTGCCTTTGGGAATGGCCCAGGGCTCCCTAGTGACCTGCGTTCCAGGCCAGGAGCCGGGAGCCCCCATGCAATCATGGCCCTTAATCCTCTGCAAGATCCAACAGCCTGTTGCATGGTTCCTGCTTAGCCGACCCTACAGGACGGGGCAGAACTGCCCCCCAAAACAGGGTCAGGCTGCGCAAGGGAAGCACAGGCCTACTAATCTAGAGGGTACAGTTTCACCACGGCAGCCCCAACTCCACCACACCTTCCTTCAGGACCAAAACTGCTCAGATGTATCATTGCGGACAGGGAGGGAGGGCCCTGAGGCAAGGTAAGCCTGTGCTTTCCGGTGCTTGCTTTCTGATCTGTAGGGACCAGTAAGTTTGCTTACTCAGGTACGTAAGAACAGGTAACCCCCCGCTGCCTTTGTCTGTTGGGAAGTGCAAGTCTGTCAGTTCAGTACATTAGTAAGTCCGCACTCATGAGCCCATGCTTCCCTCACCCCTGTGCCATAGGGTTTCCAAGACGCTAACATTTTCACGGAGGCAGACTGCCACATCTTTTTCCCAAGAAGGATTGGTGGGCTGACCGCTCAGACCATGCTGCTCCCAGCGGGGCGCATTCAGTGCTGCACCACCAAGGTTTCTCCCCGACAGCGGCAAAGGTGTGTTCTCACTTAACTGGAAAGAGACTAGGAGCTCAGTCAGGTCCCACTCCCAGCCGTCAGCCATGGGCAAGTGACGCCACCACTCTGACTGAGGCAACAGTGCCTCCCCTCACCCAGCTGTGAAGGTGCTCGGAGTGGAAACCGTTGCCGTGGGGAACGTGTTCAAACTTCTTCCTCAGCTCCCCCTCCTCCTCCTGGACTCCACCAAACATCAAGAACCGGCCAGGACCACCCTGTTGGAAGCACAGGAGGCCGAAGCACCTCAAAGGTATTTTGTGAGTATGCCGATGTACCACTTTGGTGGAGGTGGTTGGTCTTTTCCCTGTGGTTCTGTTTAGGTGCCGTCAAACCAATTCCGATTCACAGCAACCTGATGTACAAGAGGACGAGGCACTGCCCGGTCCGGAGCCATCTTCTCGCTTCTTCTATCTGAGCCCAGCATGCAGCCACGTGTCGATGCATCCTGTTGAAGGTCTTCCTCTTTTTCACGGCCCCTGGACTTGACCAAGCATAATGTCCTTCTCTAGGGACTGGTCTCATGCCCAACGTACGTTATTCCTTTCTAGCCCTGTAAGAATATACAAGAGGGCT